GTAGACGTGGCACTTCAGGATATGGTTTAGATGGCTTGGTGGTGTTGGGTTGGTGTTGAACTTGATGATCTTAAAGGTCTTTTCCAATCTTAATGATTCTGTGATTCTTTGAATAAGATTTACAATTATTGCAGTAAGACTAAAATCCGAACTTGGTGGTAGCTGAAATTCCACCATCTATCACCATCTTTCTTTTCAAAAAAAGAAGGATATTAGAAAAGTCATCTTCACCATTTAAGGAATATTCTGTCTTATTCCAGTGCTGCTGCAGTCAATTATATATCTCTACTATATTTTCCTTTCCTTACTTATATCACCCCCTTGTTATTGCAGGTGTGACACTGGAGGACCTGATGAAATGAATTGTAAGAAAACTGCATTGTATGTGGTATGTGTGTTTCAAAAGGTATCTTCACTGGTCTGTGAAGACTTGGATACATATTGAAAATATACAAGTTAGACCAGTGATTTTCAGACTGCTGTTCTCAGGTCCTGGGGGCCAAGGAATATTTGCAACAAAGCCATGAGAAATAAGTGAGAAAAACAAGCCTATTATCAGTGGGCTTAGTGTGGCACTCTGCTTCCAAAGGAAACAGTATTAACTGTTTAAGAACTTCTAAGCAAAAGAGAAAACAGTCAAAATTCCAATTATTGGGACCTCAGTTTTCTGGATAGGAGGAAATGATGCCAAGTGTCAGGAAGTTTTTTTTCCCTGTATAACCCAAATGCGGTGAGAAGATGCTAAGGTCAAACAAGGAATCTTCCATTAATTTTAACTAAAATAGCTCTTGGGATGCTTTAGAAGTTCCTTCTGTTTTGCAAGCTGACATCCTAAGGAGACAGTGAACATGTTGTCCGTTGGCTAAAGGGTCTGATCCAGAAAAGTGCTAAGCATGCCCAGCTCCCTCTGAAGTGAATGTGAGTTGGCACTTATGTCAGGAGAAGCCAATGGGAGGTGACACTTCTCAGCATCTCAGGATCAGGCCGAGGCACTGGTAAAGCAGCAGTGCACGCCTGTCAGTGGGACAGATGTGCCAGGCTCAACAGAGGAATGCTGCAAAAGCAGACATGTTTTCATAAGGAGCATAGTGAAAATATACACTATCGCACAACAATGCCAAGTGTTGTTATTTACTTTTACACTCTGACATTCACTAGAGCCCTGCAGTGAATTTATCCTCAGCTCCATGTTGCCTGCTGTTAGCTGGGAGCAGATTCTCCCAGGCTTGCTCACCTGCTCAGCCGTAGCATGGTAGTGGACTTTGGGATTGTTGCTGAAAGCCGGTCGATACTTGTACATGGCAGGTGTAGGAGGGCTGATAAGTTTGGGTGAAAGGCTACCTTCTGTAAAAAAAAAAAAAAAAAAAAAAAAAAAAAGACTTTCTATTAAAATGTGTGGACAGAAAGCTATCGTCCCTAATTCCTTGCTATCCATGGTCCTCTGCAAACAGATCTGTTCTCGAAAGAACAACACTTGCAGTACTTTTGTGCAGAATTCCACGAAAATCAATGGGCCCCCTGTGGAAATAATAGTACCTTGCTCCCAGATCAGCAATCTAAAGAGGAGCAGCAACAAAGTACAATATATTAAATGGGGTGACATATTTTGGTAAGTAGTAATTTTGCCATAATTTGAAATACTAGATATTTGGGTTGAATTCAGCTACTAGTTTTGTCTGAAAAACAAAACAAAAAAAAGGCGGTTTTTAATTGGTATCAAAGCTTTAATTTCACATTTTCATAAATGAAATAATTCAGTTTGTAATGCCTAAGCATTTCATGCTAATATTTCTGATTCCTTAGTTCAAAATGACATTTTTTACTTTAAAATTGATCAAAAATTTAAGGGGTTTAAAAAGGTTTAAAAACTCTGCAAAACTGATATGAACCATCCAACCCAGGCTTGAATGAACCACTTCAAGCTGACTTTTCTCTCCCTTTCCTGTTGTTTATTCCCCTAGCTCAGAACTCCTATAAATAGTAAAAACCCTTCACCCAGATCCCATTACTGTTTTGAAAGACTAGCAGAAGCCTTTTAAAGAGGCTGAAATATTTTCTTATTAATAAAAATAAAACACTGATCATGCAACTATACCTTCACTGGTCCCCAGCTGCCCTTTTAGCTCAGAGTACTTGCTTGGATCTCCTTTGGGTGGGAGAGGTGGTTGCACATCCACACTTTTATCCTCCAGACCTTCCAGGCTAATTTTAGACTGAAAACAACCAAAGAATCAATCATTATCTGCAACTTGGTCAAATAACAGCACATGTCAGAGTGCTGGATGTACCACAGAACAAGAACTACCTATACCTATAATGACAAACATGATTTAACAGCCACTGCAGACAAGGACTGTCATGTATAAAATTAGCACTGTTGTAACAAGCCATTATAATTTTAAATGCACTATCCTAGTCTACTTGGCATGCTAAATAACATTATCATCACAGTAGTTAACATGTGGTAGAAGACAATGGTGTTTCCTAGCATTTTTCAGCAACGTTCCAGGCAGTTCTCAGCAAGTAACTATCCAAAGAATGTAACAAGTAACCATCCACAAAAATCTTGCAAGGTGGCTTCTTTTGAATCCACTGTTTTTTATATGACTAAACAAATCCTTCTCTCTATTTCACGCCAGGAGAAACTGGAAAAAGAAGAGGAGAGATGAGAACTCAGCTTCTGAGCCAATATTCCTTTCACTGGACCACATGCCTTCCTGCAGTCTGGAAGCTCAAAACCTTATTTGAAGTAAAACAGCTGACCTGGTGGTACAAGGGTTCTTGCGCAGTGTTAGGTTTGTTAAAATTAATTTGAACACCAAGATGTAGCAACTCTTGGGACAGAAAGTTAACTATTGCAAAGAACAGCCACCTCTTCCAAAAGATGCCCAGAGGCTTTCTATTATAGAGCTGCAAAAAGGACTATTACTGGATCAAGAGCTGCTCTTAATGAACGTGGGTCACTTTCAGAGGATGAAGTATAGGACAAGGACTCAACCTCTATTATTTTCTCCAAGAAAATGCATCATCTCAAAGAGATTTTCAATGACAAACTCATTCCCAGGCTTGATAATGCTCAATCCATGCTCTTCAAAAGCAGCACTTGAAGGCTGCCTTACCTTGCTCCGGTTGAGGTTGGCTTGGATCCCATTGTCACTGATCTTCACTGTGATCTGTCGCTCAGATAAATCAGGTCTGAGGAAAGGAGGCTTCACACCCACAGCTTGCTTTCGCTTGGGCTCAACTATGTACCTGATTAATTGTTCAACAGTCATCATTAAAATAAACAATAACCTAAGAATAAGGCATAGAGACAAGAAAATCTTCCTGCTTCCAGGTTATGATTTAAGAATGCGTCAGAATCTAGGTAAGCAAACATCATTTATTTCAATGGATGTAATAATTAAAAAGCAATTAGAAGATTTTTTTTTTTTTTTTTAAGTGAGTAAAAGGAGAGGATGACCCAAGCAATTTTTGAAGCACTGATGCACAAGAGCACAGTTCACATGACGACAGAAAGAGAGGCCTACCACCAATGGAAGCAATTTACTAGATCTCACCTACTTAACATGAAACAGCTTCCCTGTGGTGAAAGATGGCGACTGGGGGAATAAGACCCAGCACATAGGGAGTTAAATATGGAGAAGATTATGTGCTGTCAGTTCTAGCTTGGCGAATGGTGACTTGTTTCTGTATCATGTTTAGAGTATTCAAATAAATGGAGGTAAAAGAAACAGGTCTATAGGAAGCAACAAATCTAAAGGGAAACGGCTGGCCTTAGATATCTAATTTCTTTCCAGTGGACTGGAACTCTGTAAGTGCAATTGAGCAGTGGCTGTACAATGCATAAATATCAATACACACCCAAGCCTTCCCTGTTTTATCTAGTGAATAGGGCATTCTGTAGTGATGGCTCAGTGACTTTCAATATACAGGACAATTTGAACAGGTCTTCACAAAACACCAACATTCTGCTTGCTGAAAGTCTGAGAATGATGATAGTATGATGATGATAGTACTCACACCCATCTCTTAACAGGAGTGTCTCCCAACTTCTAATATCTGACTCTCTTAAAGTATCTTCACCTGATTTTCATGTTTTTCTAAGTTTGAGAAGCAGCTATTCCAGTGTCTTCACTTTTACACATGCAACAGCCTTTTAGGATTTACTTGTTGCATAGTGAATGGGAAAAAAAGGCAGATAATAGTGTCAGGGTCTGGAATTGCTCAATATCCTGAAAAGGCTAAAATAAGTCTTCATGTAGTACAATTATTAAGGTATTTGCAGGCTGGACAGCTCGACACCTAGGATATTTATACTCCATCTGATCTATTGCATTAAAATCCTGATTTCAAAATGTGAAACAATAAATCCATTTCCCCAAAAATAGAAAGCCATAAATAAAATACCACATTCCATGATGTAGACCTCACTGAAAATCTGTTTTATGATAATGAAAGTGCCAGTGAGATTGAAAACCACAGCAGCCTTAAATTAGACTTAAGTCTTAAGCAGAAAGGCTGATTTTAGATTCCTTCCTTTTCTCCAGCAGACTAGAATACTGGGACATTGACTGTACAGTGCAAAAAGTTGTGTTGGGAATGTGATAACATATGGAAACTTACCTTGTTACTGAAATTTACTGGATAAACAGGTTGGTGAAGATGAGGGTATCAGCTCTTGATATAATTTGACATGCTCATTCCAAATAAACATTTCTGAGATGAGGGTTATGAATTACATGAAGAAAGCATCTGTTTGAACAGGCTACAGCCATGCAATAGTGAAGCAGCTATCACAGAGCTCTGCCTTCAGGAGTGTTTTACTTTACTTCCCTGTTACTTCATCAGCGGTCTTTCATGTGTGAGCCCAACCAAGCACGTCATCTTCCTCCATCCCAACAACTACTCTACCTCCGTCATTCCCAGTTGAGAGCATTTCTCTTACCTGGGAGCCAAGGGGCTGCAGAGCACATGTTCCACGTTTCCGCAGCATCCTCGGGTAAAAGGATTCACTCCCCCACGGAATTTACCTGTCACCTGGAAACATGTTCAGGACAGTGCTCAAACCTGTGGTTATAGAAAAGTCATCATCCAGCCCTCAAAGCCAAGAACGAGCATGCCTTGCTCTGACCCTACTGCCCTTCCCAAACAGATAATTTTTCTTTGAATGCTGCACTTCCTCTCTCCTGCCCTAACACACCACCTCCATCAGCTATTTCTAGCTAGGAGGCACAGCAACTAAAGATCCCTTCCCGAAAGGGCAGTGAGCTTTTGATTGGGTTCCAAAGTGGTCAGGTTCAGCTCTCCATGCTGCTCCTGCATTAGATTCGTGCCTGCTGTCAGCCAGACATCCTGTTTTGGTCCCTTTCATTTCCTGGTCACTTCCACTCTTCTGCCTTGGCAAGTTCCCTCCAAACAAACAGGAATGTCAATTGAAAAAACAGGAATTGTTAATATGAATTCAACATTCATAATGTTGGATGAGAGCAATGTTTCCTCTCTATCAGCATCCCATCCCTAGTGGCAATCAGTAGGAACCGCTGCCTTTTGTGGGAGGGTGTCAGGAACTCCCAAGCGATTACGATGTTTGCTTGGAAATGAGCTAGTTTAATAAAAGCCAAGCCTCATTAGACTGGCAGGATCCATTCAAAGCTTCATAAGCATTATAAAGGGTTTGTACTCTACAGGCAGATACTTGAAAGTAACCATGTGGGAATAAATACCAACAAAGCCAGAGAGATTAATAGTAGTTACCATTAAATGCATTACTGTTGCTGTTTGCAAGCAATGCATTTTAATCGACTCATAGTTCTGATCTAGCAACAAGTTTACAGAGTACCAGAAATACTTTAATTACTTGCACATAAAATAATGATGATTAAATGATTTTGCAATATACTATGCTGGCCTCTTTTATATAACATAAAACTCTTTAAAAGGCCAAGAGAGAAATGTTAGAAGTTCTGAGTGTTGGAAGAGTAACCTGATGACTAAAACATGGGCCTGGGACATTTGGCACATCTGCATTCAATCCTGGGCTTAAGCTGACTTGTGCCAGATGCTGGCAAAGCACTTCATATCTCTGTGCCCATTTTCTCAAACACAATATGAAAATAAAATTTCTCTAACTCACAGATTACATTACTAATTATATCAATTTGGTTTCTAAAGTAGTTTGAAATCCAGTGATAGAAATTAGACTCAGAAGGGAGAATATTTATTTACTCTATTCAGAAACTAAAAATATCAGGAGATGAGCAGATGTTGGGTTATGGGTTATTTTGATTCCATAGAAGATTTTCAGAGGCATTCAGAAAGCTCACAAACATCTAAACTCAGCCACTATGCACTCCTAAATCACAGTCTTCCTCTTATAAATGCTCAAAACCTGTGAACTCCGGAATGAACAAACACCAAAAATTTCTGTACCACTGGCCTATAAAATGTACTGGGAAAAGAGGACAAGTGTAGCTGAGTATATTGTAACTGTCGGAAAGCCGACAGCAGATAACTAACAGTGTGAGAAAAGAGAATCTGGAGACTGCAGGAGAAAAGTTAATGTTTTAACACAGTGGCAAAGCCAGGAGCAGATCTCCTATTCATCACTCCTGGTCTGGTGTTCTAATTACTTAGATATGCTTCCTTTGAAAGGGACCTGAAGTCTGGGAACGTCCTTCCTCCAGGTACAGACCGGTAGTACATACAACTAAACAGAAAGTAAGACCAGATTATATTTAATTTTCAGAAAATGGCATGGGAAGACGAATTAATCTCAAGTGGTTTGGTAGCTCAGAAAACCAAACCAAGCTAGGATACATTTTCCAATAGTTATTTCAATGAAGTTAAATGCAAAATTCTCAACCTTCCTTAATGTTAGTGTAGCCACAAACACAAGCAGTTAAATTTTACTGGGTTTTTTTTTTTCTTAATTTAAATTTTTCTTTCCTCCTCAGCCTAAAATTTTCATGGAAAGTTTTCAACACTTCATAAAGACAAGCCTAAGGCAGACCATGATTTGGGCTATGAGACCAAAATGCTCCGGGTTTCACGCTACTATTGTTAGCACTATCAATCAAATCTAATACCTGGCCAAAATAAATTTTAAAATGAAGAGCAGCTGATTCCAAGCAGGACAGAGAAAAGCAGTTAAAGATCTACAGCTATGGTAAGCCTGCTTTGTTCAAAGGCCATGTTAGGCAACAATTCAGGATGACTTCAGATTCTTTGCTTATGTAAACCTCCCACACTATTCTGAATAAAAGTTTTTATTGTCTCTTGTGGGATAGGAGACAATCTCATCCCAGTTTACAAAGGCCTGGACTCAGACAGATGCCTTCAACTCCTACACACTGCACAGCAGCCATGCAAGCTACACAAGCATGAAGCCATCAGCCTGCAGGACAGCCAGAACAGCACACTGCTCAGCATGAGCTAGAGAGCACCCACAAGTGCAAGAGCAGTAAAAACGCATTTGAAAAAAAAAAAAGAAGTGAAAAAGAAGTGTGATGTGGAAAAAAAAGTGAAAAAAACCCAGATGCGTGAGGGGCTCTTTGGAGCTGGAGCTGTGAAAGGGTAAAGCACTGGAATGCACACAATTAATTAGCCTTACGAAGGAAAGCTGAAAATGCTGTGAGCAGATGACTGGCACACTGAGTGACTCAGCGTCAAGCTTTCTAACTGAGCTACCCCATACTAAGGGGAGTGGCAAGGGCATGCTATCAATCACATGAGTAGATCTCTATCACCCATATCATGCTATTGATATGCACATGCATATAAGTCTGTATCATCCACATAGGAGCTGTGGATTATATACATTTGAGTAACTGCAGGGGAACTAAAGTTTTACAGGCTTTTTGGCACAAGATGTCATGTTGGCACTCAGTTTGGAGAAGCAAAACAAGTTAGGTCCAATAGCCTCTCTGTGTGTGCGCGCACACATATACATGAGAACAAGAGAGAGACAAAGAGCTAGCTCAGACATCATTATGTGCAGTGTGGGTTAGCTGGGGGAGTTCAAAATATCAGAAGACAGGGCAAAAGCATGATTTAATCTTTTCTTTTCTTTCCTTCATTGAATCTCATCGTTTGTTCAGTCTGACTCATGAAGTTTGAACTTCTGGGGTTGATGGTACTCACCACATAAAATCTATTTCAAGGCCATGAGTAGATTGTAAATGGCAAATAAGCCTGGGATGATCCTTTGTGGTTGGAAGGGGGAAATATTTGTTTGTAGTGCATTCAAGAAAAAAATCTGAAAATAAAAAACTATGCAATCTTCCTAGATCTTCATAAAAGATTCAGTAAAAGTGTTACTGCTAAGATTTGGATCATTTTTGCTTTACCCAAGGTGACTTGCTGACTTTCCTTCCCAACTCAACATCTTAGCCACAAACACAGAGAAAGGATTGTTTCTTACCTGTTCATTCGTTGTGCGCCCTCGGGCCACAAGAACAATATGGAAGCCAGTGAGACCAATGACTGGAATAAAGAATAATCCAGCCACACACATGACAGCCATTCTGTATCCAGGAGTTAAAGAAACTGGGATGAGTAAGGGGAAAAAAAGGCTATGAAGGAGAGAGAGAGGAAAAGGAGGAAAAAAAAATCTTGGAAATAGGGAGGGTGTCCCTCACCTTTAATTAGGTCTACCTGAACTTTATATCAAAATTAAGTCCATCTGCTCCTAGCCTGGGTCCGTATCCTTGAGATGCTTAAAAAAAAAATGTGAACTCATTGATTCTGGCTCTAACCATCTTGTAAAGACTGTTCTGCATATCAACAGGGATAGCACCCCTCAGAGCCAGCAGTTCGTGTATTACATTAGCATGCAGCGGGACTGCTTCCAGGGCAAACTCTGCTTTAGAATACAGTAACAGAGTTTTAAATACAGTAAATAGTACCCAGCAGTTTAGAGTCACACTCAATTGGATGTAAAATTTGGGGAGGCAGCATATCCTTCTGCTGGGTTGTCATGGCAAAGACTGAGATAGACAAAAGGTCAGCTATAATTTTGGGGGTAATCGATGGTTACACAGGTTAGATGGGTACAGAGGAAAACCTGCACTAAACATTTACAGGGGAAGAGCAGTGGGGGATCAGGAGAGGAGTAGATCTCCACCAATTCCAGGAGGGCAAATCTTCAGATTCATTCTTTCACAATTTCCTCAAGGCCACCTTGAGTCTTGAAAGGTCAAAAAGAAGGATACGTAATGGTAGTATGAGCTGCTCCCAGCTTTTCCATATGATTTAGTACAAAGATGAGCCCAAAGGTGAATACTCCAACCATGTGTGTACTTAAGGACAGCAAGAAGAGAAAAAAATAGCGGTAGTTCCTCCGTCCTATGCAATTGTTGACCCATGGGCAGTGATGGTCAAAATCCTTGTAAAGAAAGGGAGAGAGAGTGAACAATATCCAAATGGTGAAAGGAAATACATTGTCTCAGAGATAAATCTGAACCACCGTCATGTAAAGTTACATCAGGCTAGCTCTGCAGCTTTACAACATGCTAGACTCTCTTTATAAGGGTCTTCTTAGGAGCAAGTGGTTTCTGTATCTATGTATGGAGAGGTACTTGAGAGTTTACAGGGTTCGAAGGGAGGATATAAAAACATAAAAGACAGATAAAGAAGATAATATCTGCTAACAGCAGAAGCACTAATTTTTTACCATCCTTAGCATGAAGACACAATTACAATGAAGTTATAACTTAGAATGTTTTGAAGATGCAATACTGCTGCACAATTCTCTGCCACACATTTCTGTATTTATACGTAGCCAAATGAATCCACTTTGAACAATGGACATCATGAAAGATACTTTTTTAGAAAGCAGGTCCGCAAAGAAATGCAACAGCTGGATAAGACACAGGCAAAGTTCTACACAAGTTCATTAATAGTTACGAACCCAAACCTAACTATTTGTCTCAGCAAAAGTTCAAAGTTCCTCATAATAATGCTTTGGTCAAGCATTGGAACAGGCTGCCCAGGGAGGTGCTGGAGTCACCATCTCTGGAAGTATTCAAAAAATGTGTGGATGTGGTGCTTCAGGACATGGTTTAGGGGCATGGTGGCGCTGGGTTAACGGTTGGACTTGATGATCTTGAAGGTCCTTTCCAACCTTAGTGATTCTGTGATAAAATCAGATCCCTTTTAACAGAAGATTTAGTAATGAGGGAAAGCCACAGACACCTTTCAATTGCCTTTACACAGTTTTATAAGCATGTAAATCCACTGTCTTCAATGGGATTATTCTTGATGCAAAGACAAGATCAGGTACAAGAAATAAACTTTTCTTATTTCTGTGTTCTTCAGAACAGATATTACAGATATTCACTCCATCAACAAATGAATTGTTTATTCTTTGTTTTGTGGAAATGCTAATTTTAAACATTCCTCAATAATGACAAAGGGGTTTTTGTATTTTTAAATTTTGCACAATGTATTTACCAAAATTTTACAACATATAAGAAAATGGATTAGAGTTTTCTCAAAGCGCATTAGAAAATGACAGGGGCAATTTAATAAAGATCATTTCAGGCTATATCTGAAGTGCTGATATAGCATATGTCTATTATGCAAATCTGGTTGTATGTAGCCCAAAATATCTATGGATTATGAAACTATGTAAGTACCCACTGCAAACACTTCAGCAAAGAAAACAGAAATCTGGCCACTTTTGTCACAACTTCATTTTTGGGTCTCTCTGGTCACAGCAGGCTTTAGGTTTTAGCTGATTTTATTTCTGCAAGTGTTGTCAGCTTTTGTTGTTTGTTAATCTTCATAAAATTAGCTCAAAAGTTTTATATTTTGGAAAGGAATTTTTATTGCACATTCTAGACTGAAAGTGAAAAGATGTGAATTACAACCCTGAATGGGTTCCACATGGAAAAGCCAGTAGAGTTGCTCCTATCACTGTCTCCAAGCTCTTCTAGAATAGACAGGTGAGTGGGAAATAAGCATCACAAGAATCAACAAAGCATGCTGTTCAAGACCCTGGAAGTCATAATTTAATTATACAAGCAGAGCTTCTCATTGTAAGGAACATTCAACTGATCTGACCATCAATAAAATTTCTGGAGAGCTAGGCAGAGTCACCTTGCATTTTGCTGTTTTATTCAGGTTACTTTTGGATTCTCTCACATTTTCATTTCTGCTGCGGAACTGACTCCCATGAAGGCCTTATGGTAGCATGGAATTGCAAGTGTTTATACCAGTGTTTTGAGCAATCTTTTTCTGATAAAACTTCATTCACTGAAAATTAATTTTCACACGGAGCCACTGGGGATGGCCAAAGAAAGAAATTCCATGGGACAACTGAGAATTTACCATCATCTAAACAATCCTCAGGATCTAGAATTAGTGAAAACATTTCTGTTTTAAAACTAGGAATACGTGACTCGGGTTTTCTACAAAAAATCCAGCTCTATTCAACAATTCACAGCAGTCTAAAGAAATGGTGTGACACAACTTATGAATAGCTGTGGCTATTCCCCTCTCTCCAGGGACCTTGTCAGCTCCTTACTTGCCATCTTCTCAGGTCCCACATCCTTCTAAGGCCTTCCACAACAGGACAGCCTTGTCCTATTTATCGATGGTTAATAGGCACAGCACTGCTTCGATAATTATAACTTAGATATATATTGCCCCGAAGGAGAAAATGACTGACACAAGATAAGCCCAGGCAGCCTTTCTCTCACATGTAACTGTGCTGCTTTCTTTAGGACTATTCCCCTGCTTATGGCAAAGAGGATTAGGACAAAGATGGTGTATATGGCATTCCAACTGACCTTGGTATTTTCTCCCTTTCTGTTTAGTAATGCCTTTAATTTTTATGGCACAGCTATTAAAGATTTCACCTTTCTATTGGAAAAAAAATAGACCTTGCAGCAGAAATGATTCTTAAGAAGTAGAATTTTTAGCTCAGCAACAAAAAATCCCCCCTGGCAATACACTGCTGTGGATACAGCGCTCTGTACTTAGAAGTTCTGGAAACGTTTATAGCCCAAAAGCACATCTTGCTGTTCGGAGGTTATTTTTTAAAAATGCTGTGTGCCTCACCAAGACCCTAGGGCTATTAAGAAACATGAAAGTCCCATAATTCAGAGTGAATAACATTAAAAACATGAACAAGTTCATGCTCTGAGCTGGGGTGTTGAAACAAACATGGGGTCTTCCATTGACTGGAGAACCACTCACTGAATTCTGAGTTTGGTTTTCCTAAAGCTCACACACCATACTAGCTTCTCTGCTTGTCCACTAATGTAGGCACTATTTTGTTCCAAATTAAATGATGAGCCCTAAGCTCACACATGACAAGCTACAATGGTTCACCCTGAATTTCCTGCTCTCCTGAACTCTGCCTCTGCATCAACTCTTTCATTCATCCCTTTTTTGCATTCACAATCCCTTAGCTATTTCAAGGAACACATAGTCAGCATTATAAATTTTTATTCTAATTATCACTGGCAACAAAGCTGACATCAAGCATTATTGCGTATGTAACACACATCATAACTGAGGGCTATGTTTCAAATGGTATTAATTAGTAAGAGTCCATCAACAAGGCAGACTGGGAACTTCCAAGAACTGAAATATAGGGGGAAGCACCCAACTGCATGTTTCCAGTAGTATATGCAACCCCATTACAGAGGCAAAGTCAAAAGATCATGTAATCAAGAGAACTGTTACCTCAACACAGTTGTCACAGACACTGCAGTGAGAGCAGCGTGGAGGACGGTAGAAGTGGCAGGTGGCACACCATTTCATCCGTACTTGGATTCCTTTAATCTCCACATTCTTGTAGAGTGGAGCTCGGAAGTCGTCATCTTTATCTTCATCTTCATCTGCTGCTCAATGCAAAACTAAAAGTTAGTGAAAATAACAGAGGGTAAAGATAAAAGAGCTAATCCAGCCAGTGCCTTGGATACAGGGGCACTACATGTGCTCTTTGGCTTCTCAGAGAAATAACAGAGTGGTGGAGGTGATGGACTGTCAGACAGGTTGTCCACGCTGCAGAACACTTAAGAGATCAGGGCTCATTTTAGCACCTCCCATAGAAGTGCTGTGCAGCCTTACTCACCAGCCCCTGGACAAAGGAGGTATTTGAGTTTTAGCTTACCCAGCATTTACAACCCAAATAAATAAGACAATCTGCAGACTAGAGTCAAAGAGAGGATGGAAATCATCCAAGACCTTGTTGTGAGAAGTTTTGTTGCATGCATTTGGTATTAATTCAATGCTAGCCTACCAGCACACAAAGTGAAAAATATTACATCGACAAATATTAGAAGAAGTTTGTGCTAGCTTAAATCCCCAAAATCAACCCACATTACCCTAAGTGATGATGATTTGTTCAGCACTCTACTGTCGGCCCACAATCACCCCAAAGACCTGTTGCTCCAGGGAATCTGATGCCACAGTGAGATACACCATTCTGAAGCAATTTATGTGCCCGTGAAAAGTCCTTGCATCAGTGCTTACTTTATAGTGTATCTTGTGCTCACCTATTCCTAGCATACCCAGAGCGCTCTTGTTTTAGTAACGGTACATAACTGGGAAGATCTCACCTCTCTCAAAGGCAGCATCGTCTACTGATCTGAGCACAGGACTGGGAGTCAGGAAGTCCTGTATTCTAATTTTCTCACTCTGTGGCCTTGAGCTAGTCATTTAGTCTCTCTTTGCCATTAGTAAGATGAGGATGACAATATCGCAGTCATCTTATTAGGGAGAAGGTGGAGGGCAGATGGTTTATCATCTCAGCTAAGTGCTACCCCTGTTTAAGAAAAGAGGCCATTTAAAAATAAATGTGCAAAATAAAAGCCAGTCTATAGAAAAATATATATTGGGAAGAAAAGAAAAAATCAGAATTACATTCATGAAAGTTCATCTTTTATTCTAGATTCCTGTGAGCTTTATTTGTTTCCTTTTGACAGAGGAAATCTAAGAAGTTCACATCTATTTAACACCTGGTTAAACATTATACTGCAGTTGGCATTGGTTGACTGTCTCAAAATTAGGTGAAATTTGATAATATTGTCCCAGCAGGGCATCAATCACTGTCATTTAGTTCTATATTAAAACTTCTTTAGATGTGTTATTATGATCCAATTTCCATTGACTTCAAAGGGAGTTTCTCCCTTCACTTAGATGAGCTTGGGATCTGGCTCAGCTACTTTTGTGCATGGAAGCAGAGTGCTGTACTGGCATCATTCTCTATAATTTTCCTTCGCAACTAGTCAGTAGGCCTCTCAGTGAGAGTTAGACTCTAAATCGCTTAGGCACTTCTATAAATACAATCTGTAGGTTCTTCAATACTGTTATAAACTAGCCCATGTTGTGCAATACATGTGGCCATATGAAAACAAGACACTAGAACAGTTAAACCATTTAAGCTCTTGTAAAAAACCTGACTATGCAGATAAGAAGTCTGTACATTGTATATACCTACATACATATATAAACACATTGGTCTTGCAGAACTGACACACACTTTAAGAGTTTGTATAAAATAGATTCACATCAAAAATACTGGAAGCCAGTAGTTGGTATCTATAATCAGGCAGCAAGAAACATTGCCAGTCTCAACCCAGACTGTACATTTGATTTGTCAGGGTAGCCCCAATTTCAGTGACGTAATACTTCCTTTCCTTCTCATTCATTTTGGTATATTACTGGCAACTTACTCGCACAGAGCCAATCTTGATTCATACCAGAAACATTCAGAGACGCAACAAATTAAAACACAATTCAACAATGAATAATGGATCTGGGAGCTTAATTCAGGCCCTCTTCAACAACACAAGAGCGAGCTGGGTTTACTTCACCCCATAAGCCAAGTTCTATCTGCCACAGAACCTGTAAGCTCATATGATACAGCTAGAAATGTGTTTATCTCCAGGTTTTAGTGATCTGAGCAGAAGAATATATCGGCAGAGGAATGTATCTTACAACATGGATTCTCATACTCTGATCCACTGACACAGGGCAGCCATGTCTCATGTTTTTATAATCATATATTATGATTTTTGGTGGCTTCCTTAAAGGAATCATGTAATTTCATTAGAATCTCAGCTTTTGTACTGTTTATTTGTTGTTTTGGTTTTGAATTTTAACTATCACAAATGTGCTAAGCAGCTTGAAAACCAAGACGACTACACCTAATTTAAGTAACAGAAAGCAAATAGATCTATTGTATATTCATTTTAAATCACTCCTACAATTTTTTAACTCCTTGCACTGGCAGCTCTGTGGGCTGCGTGGGGTGGTGACAGTTTCTTCACATGCACACTTGTGAGCTGAAATAACATCTGCTCCTCTTTCCTCCCAGCACTGGTATTTATAGTGTTTTCCATCTTTTATCTTCCTTATCAGTCTTCTTCCTTCACACATCTAAACTCCTACTCCATCACTTTCTTCCAGGATGACTTCCATCCCTTTTCGCATCCTTTCCCCACTCCCCTTGCTCCCAGCCTCTTCCAGACCAAGCAAGTGCACAGCCTACAGATATAAGGCCAAGGCCACAAATGAAGAGAAAGAAGCAGAAGAAAGGCAAGCTGTAGGAAACTCCTCCTCTCCCTGCTTTGCTCCTGACTCCCTTGTGTTAAGGCAATCAGGAAGGGAGGGAAGGTGATGAGAAAATTTCAAAGTTTCAATTTGATCTCGTTGTGTGTTTCTCCTTTAAATGCAAAGTCCAAAATAAAGAACTTGTCCACAAAAGGAAGTTAGAGAAGTGCAAAGGAAGGTATGAATTTACAATACACTCGGTACTGATCGCTCTAGGGCGTGATGAGTGCCTGGCTGCAGGCTCCAGTCTGAGGGAACAACATTGCACAAAGATACTAGATTCCCAGACTGAGATTTTTCAAAACTGAACAACTTAATTGCAGCTCTCTTCCTACTGAAGGCAAAGAGCATGGATGTTTTCAATAACCGCACACCCAAAGCATGTTTAAGCACTGCTGTCTCTGCCAAGATGGAGGAACTAAAAAGTCCAGGAAACTCGTTAAAGGCTTCAAGTGCTTAAGCTCTTTTGAAAAATCTCACTAGCACCTATTTGTACCTTTAAGCTTCTAAACACTGCATCACTTAATCTTGCACAAATGACTGAATCTTGCCTTTGCTTAGTTTACCTTTACATACAGTTATTTCCTTAACTGGAGTGCTGTAACACTTCAGGGGTTAAAAAGTTTCAGCTGAAAGGAATGGCAGGTAGATGCTCATCATGAGACCCTGCTACCTGGAGAAACCTGGTGCCAGGGAAGCCAGCAGGACAGGTACCTTGTTCTTGTCAGGTAGCAATTCAAAATAGATACTGAATTCAGTTGAATAGAGGTGAGAAAGCACAGCTTGAAGAGAGCACAGATCCATTGGTTTAGCAAGACTGCCTAGAGCATTCTCTGCTGCAAACTGCTTGTGAATAATTATTGGGAGATGGATAAAACGAGCCGACAATTCTCTCATTAGGATGTGTTAAAAGAGATAGCTGAGTGTGGTTCCCATTACAAAAGCTGAGCGCTCTTTATCCTATTTAATCAGCTGTGAATCAGTACTAATTTAAGCAGGCATCTTTCTAAATGTATACATTTTTAGCCACTCTAAGGCGAGCCTTAAGCATTATCTTTTTTAACGTTCAATGTTTTTGCATTTGTTTTAAGGCTTTCTGGAATGTCTGCTTTGATGAAGCTGTTTCAGAAAGTTTAGCCTCTCCCTTCCACAATGCTCTGCTACCTATTGTGAAGTGAGTGCCTTAAATCCAATGTGCCAGCATGACACAGGGGATGGCAATCTCAATCACATCAGTCAGGAGAGCTACTCAAGGAGAACTATTCTACGCAACCCTGTGCCCTTGACTGCCAGTCTGAGCAAGTACAAGGACAACTGACCCCTCCTAGCTCAGAACAGAGATGGAGGGTATCCAACGTTTCACTACTATCCCACCTCTACTGCCAGCTGGGTAAAATAAATAAAGTCTACAAGAAAGAATACCAGAAAAAAGGAGGTTAGTCAGCAAACAGTGTATTTGGATACCTGATACCCCCTTTGGCTTGCATTTTCAACCCCTCCCTCCCTCAACAGTCCCGTTCTCTGTTACCTCGTGGGAAAACTCCAGGGTCCATGAAAGTTGCCATGCTGAAGTTTGCCAGTACAAACAAGAACACGAGCCCATTGTACACTGGGATGGCTGGGGAAATGGCTTTTGTCAACCAGGGGCACCTGTGGAGAAGAAAAGTTATAGGTAAGGGCTCTTTTGGCTGTAACACATAGTTTCTTCCCATTCACCATCATCACATAGAGAAGTAGTCTTGTTCCCTCCCTACCAGCCAGGCAGCAAGGCTGAATTTGCAATTTAACAACAGAAATTTCCATAGAGACAGTTTCAGTGATCTAAAGTACACCACAGACACCCTCTGTAAAGCTGCTTTGTTCCACAGCACAGAAAGCACCAATTGTTTACATGGCTCATAGGGCTTTGCCACCCTATTGCCTTATTTGCAACCTGGCATTTTGCTTCTCTGTGTAAAAGCTTCATCCCATTGTTGCATTTCTGTTTGCCTTCTATATAGCCCTGTTGCAGTTGGTGTTACTTTCAATTTTCACTGGTGTAAAGCAGAATAGGATTCTTAAACCACTGATCTCCACAGCAGGTACAAAGAGAAGCACACTCACTGCTCACTACATTTCCCTAAGCGGTTTTCAACTCCAAATAACACTCAGAATGAACACTACAAAACCTCTCCTTAGGGGAAAGTTTAGTCAGACTAAGAATGGGCTCTGCAGGTGTCAGCAGAATGTAAGAATGCAATATTGAAAAGAAAGTGGATGGCATCTGCCACGTGAACACTTTTCAGAAGCACTGGAAAGGCTTGCTGCCCACCCAGCAAATGTAACTGAGTGGAACTGAAGATAAAAGGTAAAGGAGAAGAAGTATGAGACTTTGGAAAAAGGGTGGAGAAATACCTGTTAGTTACAGGAAAAATTGTTCTAGCTGCAAAGAACACTTTCCATCAGAGAAGGGCAGGACCAAGGCAGAAAACAGCCTGTCTTACAGGCAACTTTACCCAATAAAAAGCAGTCTTACAGGCAACTTCACCCAATAAATTCACTCAGCCATTTAAAGCCTCTCTAAAGCTTATCTCTTAAGCACTAGACCAAATCTATTTCTCTGTTCTCAGCATAAACAAGTTTGGTGTACAGGGTTGCTGAGGGGAAAATCTGATCAATCTCACAAAGCTTGCAAATAAGGAAAAATGTGGGACAAAGAACGTCTTTGAAAAAAGTAAGACCCCTGACTGAGTGGGTCCTTAGATTTGCACCTGCCTCGACAGCCTGGGACTCCTCCAAAGCTGCTGAGCAGACAACCATTCAGCAGCAATACCTTGCTTCCATTAGCATAAATCATACATTGGCCTACATATTCTGGATTGTGTTTTGCCTGAATTACATCTATGGTTGAATCTGTTTGTCTGCCAGGCTGAAGCCTGTGGAGAGAAAGAAAAAACAGCAACAAACAACCAGTCTTCTCCTAAATCTAATTCACTCTACTTTTGCTACCGATATGCTATTTTGAACAGTTGAGAATCGTGTTATTGACCTTGAAGAGACACTGTTAAACACGCTCTTGTGGCCAGCATTAGAAGGGCACCATGTTTTCTCCTTCGATTTCTTTACGAGCAGGCAGGAAGAGATTGTTTTGCACCCCCCTCCTCTTCACAGCCAGGCTTTTAACAACGTACTGCTGCAAACTGCTTTTAAAAGGACCCTTCTTTACTTGTGTGTGCTTCAATCAGACTGGCCTCCAGCAAGTAAAAGATGGACAAATCCTACCCAGGGTGAATGAACTGTAAAGACAAGAGCAACATATGTCTGTGGCTGGGGCCAAGCCTCCAGGATGACTAGGGGAGAAGGAAAAACTAAATCTTCTTGCTTGAGTAAGGATGCTGTGCTATAGCCCACAGAAGGGGAGCAGAAGCATGGGGTTTCTCCTGGGACTAGTTTTAGCAGGGAAAGGCCCAGGAAATTAACACCTATTAAGAGCATAGGAAAGAGCTGAGAGTTCACTGGAGGAGAGCTGAATTTCTCTGTGTTTCTCTTGCACTTGGGATCTCATCCAGGTCATCATGGAGCTTGGGTAAAGGAGTAGGTCTTGTAGAAGAGGAAGCTAATGGAGAAGAACTACCTCAGACAGACCCAGCTGAAGACAGCTTGACTCCAGGAAGCACCCTAAGACCCTTGCATCTACCAGGAGGTGGAATTTTGACATGCAGCAAGGTCATACTGATTTGCTGCCAGGCTCAAAGCAGCTGCCAATGACTGAAAACCAAGGCAAGGCAGAAGTTTCTCACTTGCCATGAAATGTGCCACAGTGACCTTGCCAAGCAAGCTGCAGGCCTGACACTAACAACAGTTTCTGCCAGATCCTTTGGAGGAAAGCTAAAGAAATCCTGAAATAAGCAGCTATAGAATGAATTCTACCCAGGAAAGGGTTCTTCCCTCTAAATTATAGTAAAATTAGATTCAGTAGTGGGCATGGCTGACTTCCTTTCTTCCCATAAAGAAATTGCCTACATAGAGAACAATTATGAAATTACCCATTACTTGTCAAGCATGGAAGAGAGATTTCCTCAGCAGTAAAGTCAAGTAAGTTGGCAAATCAAGGGACAGGAAACCCTTTCTTACAGACAACTAGTTACTCAGAACAAGATTATAATGAGTGAGAATGTCTCAGATGATTAATGTAAGCACTTGTTAATGTTCTCATTTGTGATTTACTTTGTCATGTTCCCAACAAATACATCAAAATACTAGGAAAAGCTTTAGCCATAAGCTAAACTGAACAGCTCATTTAATGGGTAAATAGTGTATCTGGAAATCCTTCATGGAAGTTGAAATAAAGGATAGAGTGAGTCATTGTACATATTAGCCAGAACGTCTGTTCACAATCCTTCCATTTTTTCTTCCCAGGGTCTTTATGCAGCATCACAGATTACACAAAATCAGATGGGACAAAAGGGGCCTCATTTGTAAACTAGACTGACCGATAAAAACAGATGTGGAGATTGAGTCCTGGCTCGTAACTGTAAAAAGGTCTGAAAAAGAAAATAAAATTGCTACTAGGATTCCCCCAAAATGATGCCTCCTCCCTGTCCCTCTCCCCTAATGCACACATAATTTTAGGCAAAGTAAGAGAAATTCTAATCCAAGTCTGGCAGGTTGTTTTATCATCAATCCATCATGCAACAGTCTGGCTTCTGACTCTCTGTGCTCTGCCTCAAGAAGGAAGCTGCAGAAATGTTTGAGCAGGACCTGTAGTGAGTTTCTTTTTACTTTGTGCATATCCTCTCTCCAGGAGACCTGCTTCCAGCAGCAGTAACGCTGATCTATGGGACAAATCTAGCTGAACTTTTCAGTTGCTTTTTTCTAACAGAAGCTGTTATGAATCTAGATAAACAACATGTGGATTCAAAGCTTGCTTTTGATGGTGAACCCAAAATTTCAAGAGACTACAGTCTTGCGTACTCAATTCATCTCACAGTGGAATTATATAGCACGAAGGGTACCACAAATTTTATAGGGCCATATAAATTAAGTAGCCAAGAGCAGTCCCCTAATGGAGCACCACCACCCAATATTTCTGAGATAAAAACTAAATACCGAGATTTCTGATGTGCACTGACATCTAGGAGCAAAAACATCAAGTCCTAACCCAGAGCTTTTCTATTACAGCTTAATTATTGAAGAAAGCTGCACCCTTTCTGTTTGCTGGAGCACCTGCAGAATCATGGTCATTGCAGAGGTCAAAGGCAATACCCTTGGACTACCGAAAAGTCAAGTGATGGAACACAGCACCAGCTGTCCAATGACTTGCTTTTTGCATAAGCAGCTAGATATGCCTCACCTGGCCTATCTACAGCTCAGAAGACTCTCTGTTCCCCACAGCCATTACTCCTCACTGCACAATCAATGGTTAAATTCAACGTAGATGTGAAAATAAATGTATGATGAGTCCTCCATTCCAAGTTAGTTTGTATTCCCCACTTGAATCAGGTGAACTGAAGGATAAATATTGCTACTGTTGCAGGTACCAATCATGCTACATCAAGAACTGCTCAGGAGAGAAACCTTCAATGGTTTTGTTTACTGTAGAAATTAAGAGCCAGCACACGCCACCATGGCACGCTAGGGATAATTATGGATCTCAAATTCTTCTGAATGAAGCACACAATTACACAGGCAGCATTTTCTTCATAATTATACTTCTCTGACACAGAGTGATTCTGCTCATAACTCAGAGGAGAGTAATTCAGGGTGACAGATGTAATCTCATTTATCCTATTTGCTCCTGAAACCCTATCCTAATAAAATGGAAAGTTAAAAAGATTAACAAATAGAATCACACAACTTGCTAGGTGTCTTAGACTTATGCATCATCAGATGCCTGCCTTTGCTAAACAACAAATAATCCTTTCTGCTTTTTTGCTTGGTGCTTTGTAGCAAGTCATGTTTTTGTCTTATAATTATAGCTCACCTAAGTAATTGAATAGGACGTTTTTCTTGAATCCTGCTCTAAACTAAGATTTGGTGTTTTTCATTAAAACCTTACATGTGCTTAGAGAAGCAGTAGGCCATAGAGGATGGAGCCTGGGATTTCAAGAACTGGGTTTTAGTCTTGGCTCTGACATTGGCTTGCAGAGTGACTGAAAGACATCTGCTTCCCCCCTCCGCCCCAGTTAGGCTTTTTGCAAATGAGACATGAACTACTGACAGACCATCTTGCCCACTGCAGGACAGAGAAGGGATCACCTTTGATTTTGCAAATCTCAAAGCATCTCTTGTTAGGGCCAGGCTGGTGGCCCTGGTGTTCGCTTCCCTGGAGCACAGCTCCAGGCATCCACCTCCCTCTCCTGAACTGGGCAGGGGTGAGGCAAACCGCTCCTGCTGACAGGCTGTTGTGTGAAGATGTGTCTGTGATTTACCTAGTAAACAAGGACAGTGGCTCCTTTTACACTTCGGCTGGACCACAACAAGAATGTGTGCGCCCAGGCTTCCTTGGGGTGCTGGGTGCCTGCAGTCCAGAGACAAGGAGCAGAACATGGAGTAGGAGGCTACAACCCTTTTCTTTCTAACAGAAAGTGAAACCTGCTTGTGTAGTGCACAGAGAAGATGTGGGAACTTCCAGAGTACAGACAGGCACCCAAACTTTGGATATTTATCCACACCGAATAAGACGACCCCAAGAATTGTCTATTTGGCTGCTTAGCTGCTTATTTCTGCACAGATCACAAGGCATGGGTCTATTACATGGAAAAGAAAGCATCTCTTAATTTGAATCAACTTCTTCCACCATTAGTGGTAAAACAGTAACATGAAACGGCTGATTCAGTGCATGCAAGTAGAAGCAGCTCAGTGAAGTAGGGACTAATTAGATAAGAGGGGTCAACAAGCAAACATAATTTGACTAAGCACTGGTACTGATTTCAAACTGTGTCCATAAGTCTGTAGCAGCCTGTCCTGGTTCGATTCCTCTCCAAGACTTTCTAGCCAAACCCTGACTGCTAAGAACATGTACCCATTTGTGTACTGTAAAATCCATGTAAAGAATTTCTACTCATCACCAGGTCTGACAAAAGATTTAACATTTCTAACATTACTCTGATACCCAGCAACCCTGGGAGCTGGATCCAGCATCCTAGGCTGCCCAAAAGCTACCCTAACCCAAAATGCACAACAGTGTGGATGGCTGAGATGGTATGTCAGAGGAGAGACAGGTACACAGAGGTGAAAGTCCAGCACAGACCATAAATGAAAGGGCTATCAACTGACTGATTCTGAACACCCACATTTTAGAAGAATTTGGAATTAGATGTAAACACTGTACCTGAAAGCCCGTTCCACCAGCATGTATGTAGGACAGAGAAGGTGCAAGACAGCACCCTGAAGGCTGTACATCGCCCACTCTGCACCACAGAGCAGAGAAGGGCAGAGCTCTCTTAGTCTTTAGCAGCGAAAATCTAACACATTTCTCACATATCCCAGCCTGGGTGAGATTTTTCCATTTATATGCTCTTTCCTACCCTGAAATCACAGAAAAGTATCTTTCCGAAATAGTACCAGAAGAAAAAAAATAGCTCATTTTCCATTTTTTTGTCACTACCAAAGATAGCTTGGAGATTATTGTACATCTAAGAATATTCTCCCAGGTGCTAAGACATCTGCAGATTTAACAAGGAATCACTGGAAACAGTCAGGAGAGAACGGATCTGAGTGTCATAACCAACGTGAAACAGAACGGCAGGTCTTGCAAAAATAGCAGGAGGTTCAGGATAGCCAGGTCCTTTGCTCAGCTCTGCCACATCAGATTTTGATAAATGAACTAATTTCTGTGCCATATCTTACTCATTGGAAAGATTGCACATAATATATTGTTGCCATAGCACTACACCCTCACTGTGAGTACAGCAGTTGTACTGATATAATGTCAAAGTAAAGGATAACAAATCTGAATGTTACATAAAAATGAGATAAGGAGAAGTAAATACTGGAGAATTTACTACTGAAACACAGAAACTGATGAGAGGTGAGTGCCACATGGAACAGCTCATGCTGCTGATAAGTGGGACATACCAAAGCATCACAAGAGGCAAAAAACACCCTCAAACCCCACCACCAAAACATTATGAATTTCATAAGCCCCTTCCTAATTGAAATATAGCTGAACACTAGCGACAGAGGTTCAAATCCATCACCTGCTTAACTGTGTTTAATTATTCACAAGAAATGTGCTGGGCTGAAATTCACTCAGGTTTAACAAGAGCTGATGGGGTTTCAGTGAACTTTCCATTATACCCTGGACTCCATCCAAAGGCTAGTGGTTCACGTCTGGCAATGTACAGATCAGAGGAGCTAAATCAATTAAAAAGTCAACTTGAGATACAATGGTCCTTGATGAAAAATCTTATCTGGGCTATACATCACTCCCAAAGTAAAATACACTCTGCTCTTTCCACAAAACTGCTTGAAAGCACTGGAGCGTGTTCCCTTCCTCCCTTTTTAAACAGTCTCCGAGTACCTGAGAAAAGACACTATTGTCATGTGAATTGATGTGGGAGAAATATAGAGAAGGAACAAGAATACCAATAACCAATTCTGAGAGAGACAGCCACAGGGGTAAACATATCCATCATCATCCTCACGTTCGGAAGCCATCCAGCCATCCCAGACCTATTGCACAGGCACAGACTGACCCTGCAGCCAGGCAGGCAGGACATACTCTTATAAGCTACATGCACAATGTGACTTTACATCCTGTGCGCGGTGAGCAGGCAGGACTGGATTGTGCTGGACTCAACGCGCATGCTTTGCAGAGATGCTCTCTGCACACTCAGTAGCTGCTGGGAGCCCAGAAACATGATAGAGCACCCCTGAAAGTAGCAAACACATTGGTTACTGTCGGGAGCTGCCTTCAGTTGCTCACAGCAGCAGGGCTTGGGCAGGCAGGGGCTGGACTTATTGGCAAATACAGATCAAAACAGCAAAATCCTTCTCTACACAATGCTTTGAAATTTGCATTGCCAGGCAGTAAATTAAGGACCTACACAGAGCCAGTCAGCACTTACTGACATATATGAAAGCCCAGGACAGAGTTTTTCTTTTGATATACTTGTAAAGGAATACACTATAATAAGTATTGCGTCACTTGAAATGCCCAGCTTTTCATTTGCATCTCAAATTGAAGGCATTCATTGCACATTGATTCTAGGGTATACATAGGCTGGATTTTAGAGTTCATAATAACATTGTTAAATTAGGAGAAGGATAATGCTCACATCAAAGTGAGACAGTAGGTCTTTATGGCACTTCAAGCATCTAAATGGGCTGCAACCAGAGTTACCCTGAGCAGCAGAAACCCTCTGGTGCCTCATGGATGGAGCCGATTGCCAGTGCATGGGCAAATCAGAGTGGACTCTGAGTGCAGGTTACAGAGTGAGTGCACAGATCCAGACACAAACCTCCTTATGTGAAGCTCCTGAGATCGCTTTCTCAGCCCTGGACTTTGCAAAGCCTAAAATGCCATACAAGCTGGAAGAGGTAAGGACAAGTGTAATCCAGGGCTTCTCAAACAGGCACCAACCTTTTACCAGTACCATGCTGAGCAGCTGGAACTGAACCCCATTTTTTCCTAAGTGTAGGGATGGTCTTTGAGTCATGACAGAAGAGGAGGACAGTAAAGAGTCACTGCAAAATAACCACAGCAGGAGAGACACCAGTTGCCCTGTCACACTGGAAGTTTTAGATCTGTTTGGTTAGAAAAAGGAGCTGCTGCCCAGCAACATTCCTTTGCAGCTCTGTCTGCATATGGCTGGCCACCAGCACCTCTGTACTGCAACAGATGAACGACTTCCAGCCCATTTCAAAATTCCCATTAGGGAATTATCGAGACGCAGAAACCTTGCTAAATGAGAAATCAGAGAATTATCTCCAAAAGATGCTTTATGAATCAGTAACTCGTAACACTGCTGAGTTCTCAATGCATGTGGCTGCACTGCCCCGAGTCTGTGCTCCAATGTGCACCACTTCCGGCAATAATCACAGCCCAGCTGCCCAGCATGGTGTCCAGGGATGTTGAAAGATATTTCACTGTCTGGAAGAGATACACTTGCTACACAAGCTGAGTGTTTCTGAGGTTTTTCAAAGATGCCATGCGGAATGCAAACTTGTGCTTCTAATTTGTAAACATCAGAATTATTAAATTAATGCCACATCTACTCTCTCTATATATGTACTATATATACTGAAAAGAGCCAGCCCCTCACCTTGAGCGCAGCAGAGTCCCATTTCCTTGAGTAATGAAGAACACAGTTTATTTGGGTTTTGTACTACTGGTGACCCTCATCATCCTCCAGACCTCTCAGCAATCTGTAACCCAAGTTTTTGTTGGATATATCGAATTGCACTTGCCAGATACCATGCCTCTCTGATGGAAAAAATGCACAGGATAGCTCCTCCCTGACTGAAGGCTGTTCTCCAGTGTTTTACCTATTGTCCTCATCCTTGCCAATACATGCATGAACCCACCAGCAATGCAGAAAGGTGAGGTGGGCTGCTCCTACAGAACTGCTTTTTAAAATAAATTCAAATTATCAGCAGCCTAATTCAGACACACTTGAGGTGATCCCAGCTACTGGCACAGACGGATTTGTACAGATTTTGCTCACTGTATTCCCCAACCACATACTGGCAGAACACATCTAGTACACATTCAGTGTTTGAATTCATGAGAGAGTGGTGTAGTGGAAGCAAGATAGCTCATTATAAGTATCCCGTGATGAGAGAAAGAAACAGGTAAAGAAATATTATGATATAAGGAAAGGGATGGTGACATCAATGACAAGATAATTTGACTTTTTAGATATTCCTTTTCCACATGAGCTTCAGTAGAAAGAAATTAAATTTCACAAGATACCATGCCTTTACAGCTACTGCAGAAGTTACTTAACTAAAAGACAGCATCTATTAGATTAAAGTATATGCCACTTTAATTAACAATGAGCCAACATACCTAAGAAACATTCAATATGAGCTCTTAACTCTGTGATGACATCCTCAGTGGATTAGCAGAGAATTGGGTGACATCATGTGCTTTTCAAGATGCAGGGAAAAAAAAGAAAAGCAGAGGACACCAGCAGAGACAGCCCAGGTGCTTAATCCTGGAGCTGTCGCTCAGCTTAATCCTGGACAGCCTGTCAAGGTGCCTGTCATGGGTCTGCATCAGAGAGCAAGTTGCCTTGTTAAAACTCTGCATTGAAAAGAGCTGCAGGGGCTGCTTGGGGTAGTGGATATTAGTAGGGAATATCTTATTGGAGGACCTTCTCTCTCTACCATGTGTGCCACTTGCTCCATGTGAGATGCCAGCCGGCCCTGTCAGGGATGTTGCATGGCCTGAGCTGGAAGGACATGAAGGACCATACAGCTGCAGGCAAGGTCTGACACCGCCACCACAATCCAGGTGTTTGAGTAGGGCACGCACACTGATATCCAGCCAGCTCTGACAAATCTGCCAGCTGCTCTTGGCAGTGCTGGGGCAGCTAGAAAGACTTATACAAAGGAAGGGAAGGAAAATCCTGTGAGGCTGGTAATAGCAGTTAAATTTCTTCCATGACTTGAGCGCGCTGTTCAGGAAATTTACAGCTAATTAAGACCAGAGGTTCTTGCAGACTTGTCTGGATCATGTATTGCCTTGGAAATCTGGAAACAATACCTGAAGCGTTGTTATTCAGGCCGTGGACAGAGCTGCTAACGCAAGTCCTTTTATCTATGCAATAGCTTGCTTATGTGGGGAAAGGAAGCCAGTCCTAATCTGAACTCTCGTCTGAAGATTTCTAGACACATATGCAGCAAAATTACTGCAGTTATTGAAAGGTTTCCCTGTATGAAGCAGAAAGATTAGGGATTTCATATTTTATAGAAGAGATGAACAAAACAAAGAGATAGAGGTACCTCTACTGCAAACAGATACAGAAGACAGTGTAGAAAGTGTAAACATTCTCATATATCAAGTACTAGAGGAAATATGTAATAATAAAACAAAAGCCTCTCTTAGAATCCCATCTCTAATGTCCCTCTGGAATATCCTCCCGAAGGGGTTTTATGCAAACCTGAACTGGGGGCATGACAGTTATATACCTTATTCTCACGACACTGAAAAAGAACTTCGCATAGCTGGTATAAGAGGTCCTTAATATATTAAGATTTTAAGCAGGGAAAAACAAAAATCCGAATTACTTTAGCTGAGATTTAAGAAAAGAAAAATGCAAAAGACTTTCATGTTTCAACCTATAAATCAAACTTTGCATTTGGGAAGAACGTGCCCCTATGGCTACCTGCTTTGGTATGTTTTACCCCTTCCTAAGCCACCAGCTGGTACCAGCAACCTCTCACGACAGGGTATCAGAGGAGACTCACCAGTGATTTGGTCTGTTTTGGCAACACCTTTAATTATAAACTGCAACAGACACTAACATGGCCAAGGCAATAAAACAGCACCCTGCTATCACAGACCCCCTGACTACTACCCTGCCCGGCCATGCATCATTCTGAAACCAGGCAACATTTTATACACCACGTCTTTTCTCTGGAGGATGGATGCCAGCAACAGCAAGGCAGAATTGGGGCCCTCCCAAACAGGTTGGAGCCCATTTCCGCTGGAGGACCGGGACTGTTTTGGGGCACAAGGACACAGCTGAAAAATCCTTATTTCTTCCAGCAGAGGGTAGTGGCACACACAAGCCAGCAAGCAAACGTGAGATATGGCAAGCAAGAGATGTATGCAGTGCAAAACAAAGCCAAGGGTGCAATAACAATAATAATACAAAGCAACATTGCTTAGTCCAGTGGAAATGTTACAAAACTAAGTGCATTCCGCCATTTGCATTCATCAAAGGAAGAAACACATCAAACTTTAGCTTGTTCTCATCTACACCCTTCCTCAGTAATATATCATCTTCATTCCCCTTTCTAGTTTTGGGAAGGGACACCCCCAGGCAGCAGAGGGGCCAGAACAGCCTTTTTCTGAACATGACTACTAGAAATCTGTCTTCTCCTTCCCTCTATGGAGCTATTCTCCTTTCCTTGAGTCTCCCAGAGAAATCACTCAATAACTTTCAGGCTCTGTTTCCTCTTTTCTCCCTCCTGTTGTCCTGTTGGTAAATTAAATGACTGAGCAGTAACATACACGTTCTCATGCAGCAGAGGAACATGCTGCTATCACTGTTTTAATTTGGGTGTGTGGCAACGCAAAGGCAGTCTCGGGTGCCTCCACGGGTCTCGCAGCCCACGGGCAGATCTGCAGATAGACTTGCCAGAGGCAAAGGCGACACATGCAGGAGATTCACGGCTGTTCCCATGCACTCTCTCAACAGATACCAAAATAAGCCACTAAGGTAGAAGCACAGCCACAGTCTTCTCAAACTATTAAATGACTGTGACCCCCTGGCTTAGATTGTTTCCAATTTTAACAGCACAAACTAAGCCCTAGTCCCAAGCCTCCTCTGCCTGCACATCAATGACTGCGACATCTCTGCTCTCCATCTAACAAGATTAGGACAGGCTTCTGGAGGCAGCTTCTCCTGCAGGCAAAATGTTATTACAGGACCTATCAAAACCAAAAATGCTTTTGGGGAGCAGTAAAAACCTAAAAGAATCCATAGCAACTGTCTCACTAACAGTCATATTTTTTTATTTAAATCATGAAACACCATCTTAGGTCTAAATGTTTCTGTCAACTTGGACAAAATATAATGGTAATCTTCCAATATTTGTTTTGGTGCACAGGTATTCAATTCAGATTGACAGAAAACAAAATTACTTTGCTTAGAAAACATCCTAAGAGATGATAGCATCTTAATTACAGAAACAGGGAAATGGGATTCAACCTGGTATATAGATTTGTTTCTTGCCAATTCCACTCTAAAGCACAACAAGGCCATGATCTCACTGGCAGCCATGATGGCAGGGGGAAATGTCATTGCTTGACTTGTGTATTATTTGCTCTACCCCAAACCCCATACTTTTAAAGACAAAGGAGTAGCTTGCTCACATACTGTAGTACACATAGTAATAAATGTTGCAAAACAGTTACCCTAATAGCTCAGTATTCACTAAAAGCATATGGGTTTGTCATTTTGGGGGTTGTTTTTTTGGGAGAACCACAAAGTTATCAGAAAAGGTACAGTTATGCTCTGGGCCTGATGAACTAAAAATCACCCAACTCTTGCCATAATTCAGGAACATAAACCAGGATTACAATTATCTGAGATGCATTAACAAAGCTTAATACACTCCTGAGTCAAAATGGGACAATTAGCAGCTCCTGTACCAAAATAGAAGACTATGGAAATGGCATATGTGTCACCATCTGCTAACGATATGCAGTAGGCAAACCAATTCAGGACAAAAAAAAAAGAAAAATAAAAAAGCAGTTTCTTGATGAAACTTGTTTCCATTTCCAAGAATCAAAGCAAATATTCAGTTTAAGCATTACACTTTCCAGATTCCCAGCTGGGACCAGAATGAGAAGCATCAAGCATCTTATGATTTAACTGTTGAGAAATTTCCAGGCCAAACTTTCAAGCAAGAGGTTTGGATACAGATCTGAACTGTGGGATGTTTTGTCTGTGCAGTTCTACCATTGCTTCCAACAGCAACAGTTAGCATTAGTATGCGTACTTTCTAAATACCTATTTGGTCCTGAACTTTGCTGAAGTTCATAATTCATCCTGTTTTTTCCCTTGATTTAATTTGAAGAGTAGCAATCATCATTTTGTTTTTCAGAAAA